TTATACTTAAGTGATTTTCAGCAAATTAACCTCTATGGTCTGTAGCTTCTTGATCTGTAAAGTGGGGACATTAATGGTATATATTTCAAAGGTCTTCTGTGAAAATTAAAGATGGTCATGTGTATCAGCATATTAGCACAGTGCCTGGCACATAGTAAAAACTCACAAATGTAAGTTATAACAATACTGACAAATTATTTCTATTGAGCAGAATACTTCATAGAGGAAAAACTGTTCCGTGGCCCTGAACCACACTACAAACTTTACTGAGTTGTTGCCTCTGATCACAAGGGAGATGCCGCATACATAAAGACAGTGAGTCAGTACAGGTATAATACATTATCTCCATCACTAGAAATTACTTTTCCAACCTAAAGCTGCCTTTCTCACTTACTGCTAACCTTTCAGAATGAAGTTTATTACTTTATTCTACCTAATATATACTCTACCTAAAAAAAAAAAAAAGTTCCACATATTTGTGACATCCCCATTTGGCATGACTTCAAAGATGAAGAAATCACTTAACTGAAAAACTAAAACAATTTAAGTAGCACTGCTCTTCCTGTTATAAAAATTCCAACACTAGACTATTTCAATCAACAACCAGCCCAACTACCATCCAGTTTACTCTGGATTAGGTCACCAATGTCCCGCCACTAGTATAGAGAGCAGATACCATTCATATCTTTGAAATGATTAAAACATTCATGTAACTGTGATTTTGCTGCATGAAGCAGAAAAATAAAACCCCTGGTTTTATTAAAGACACAATACCCTAATGATAGAGAAATGTAATATAAAATGTTATTTAAAAACTATATAGAAGGAACCTGGCAAGTGTTGCTCAGTGGTTGAGTGTTGTCCTATGAACCAGGTCACAGTTAGATTCTTGATCAGGGCGTATGCCTAGGTTGCAGGCTCAATCCTTAGTAGCGGGTGTGCAGGAGACAGCTGGTCAATTATTCTATCTCATCATTGGTGTTTCTCTCTCCTTTCCTCTATGAAATCCATAAAAATATATTTTTTAAAAATCATACTGGAGGAAAAAAGGAAAAGAAAAACCCTTCCATGGTGTCTTCTGTAATTTCTTCATAAACACTTAATCTTAAAAAGTTCCAAAAAAATGGGCTTGCTGCCAAGTGTTGTCAACCATAAAAAGAAATCACATTTTTAATACAACTGGATTTAATATAAATTGAGGTATAGTATTTCTGTACGTGCATGTATGTTTGGTATCTGGTGCACGTTTATTAATAGCAATGTCAAAAGAAAAAAATTAAATATTTAATGAAATATCTATAAAATATTTGCCCCAGGCCAAATGCCATAAGCAGTTAACACCTACCTAGAAGATGTTTGTAGAAATAACTATTTTCAACCACAGAATTGTACTTTTATCCAAGAGGCTGTAGCACTATTAAGTGACTAAACCTTTCTCCATTAAAATGCTCTAAATCAAATCAATTTTAACTCATCTATCTACTTTGATGGAGAATAAATTATGGCAAATATAATTTAAAATATTTATACACATAGCTTTTTAACAGATGTGCTATCATAATTATATTATGTACTTGGAATAACGTGAAAGATAGCCTTCCTATCTACACAGTTTCTGGAAGATAGAAGGAGGGCAATATTATCTGTGTCAGACTGAGTGTATAGAGAAACTAGATAGCTAACTTAAAAGTGGACCCATATAAACTATAACATATAAAGAATTGATAGTCACTCGACCATGTGAAGGCCTAAGCATGATCTCATCTGAAGTGTTTTTAAACCCACTTATTATGATCATTCAAATATAACTTTTAAATAATTTGATGCATACTTAATTCGTTTTGTCTTCAACATTTTATTCCTAAAGCATCCACTTTCCACACCAGGCAATTGTTTTTATTAGTTTCTTGAATATTCTTACAGAGATATTTTACTTTCTAAACTCTTTAGAGGTTAAATGAAACTAAGGATGATGGGCTTTAGGCTGAAGAACATTTGCTCTGGCAAAACCATTCATTCCTTACATCTGCCTCTCATACCCAGAGGGATGGTGAGTAGGACTAGCCAGATACCCTTCTAGGAGATTTATAGAGGTTTTAAATTCTACATTCTTTAAACAGAGTGGAACTTTTTGCTCTGTCATTTCACACGTGCATTCACCTCTGCTCTCTTTTAATCAGAACACTCACTCTCGTTTGGAAAAAAATGTAACTTTTCCTTTAAATAGGTAATAGGCAATTTCTCAATTTGTTCTGGTGCCTTAGTAAGTTAAAAAAAAAAAAAAAGTAAACAACAAACAAAACCCCAGAACTTAAAAAAAATAAAATAAATACTCAGAAGCCTGGAAGCCTGAGGCCATCCTCTTCACTTCATTCTTCCTGATATTTTACCTGAGCATTTGCAAAAAAAGATGCCAAAGAGGAAACAGTCCCTACAGAGGCTCTACTGACCAAAGTTTAGGGTAGATTCAAATTGCTTAAGGAAAGGGGGAAAACTTCATGGGCACCAGTAACACTCTGATGGAAGCTCAAAATTAGAAAAGCCAAAATATCAAACTATAGACAAAGTTTAGAGTGAGTGGGTTGGGTACAACTAGTGAAAATGTTAGCCAGCAGGCAGGCTGGGAAACACCCCAGGGCTGATGGTGGGGAGGAAAAGTTTTAAATACCTACCAGAGCCTAGTGATCTATTAGCCAGAGTTATCTGCCCCAGGCTCTGCTCTAGTCCCAGAGCAGCTAGCTGCAGGAAAGCCAGCGGCCAACCCTATTTTTAAACACACCTCTCCGTTGAATTTCAGAAAGCTTGAATTACCAGCGTTACATTTAAAAAATTTTCTTCTTAAACAAGTGAAGACAAATTTGAATTCCCTAGCCATGGCTAAAGATAAAAGAAGGGAAGGGAACAAAAAGTGATTTCAGCATGAGAGTGAGGTGATGAGGTAGGGTGGGGGTTGGGGGGAGAAAGGACTTACCGCAGCCTCTGCAGGCTGCCCCCACAGACTCAGGGCCAGTAAGAACAAGCCGACTGCCAGGCTGACTCCACGAAGTTTCATTCTTCTCCGGCTCCTGCAGCTCCTCAGCACCCACAGGAAATCCCTGGCTGGCTCTGACCAATTGACATAATCTTGAGGGTTTATAAAATGAGAGCTAGAGCCTGAGAGGGAGAGCGAGGTGCCCCAATAGTGCAGGTCAGCTTAGGTGAGGAGAAAGAAGCTTTTATAGAGGGGGGGGGAGAGAAGAAGCTATTCTTTCCTCCCCCTTCCCCTTCCCAAAACTGGTCTCTTGGGAGTACTTTTCCCTTCTGTCCAGACTTGCAAACTTTTTCCTCACGCAAATCCCACAGATCTACTTTCCTGCCTGTCTTCCCCCGCACCTCCCCCTCCCCATCAGCTCTGGGGAATTTGAAGATCACTCCGCCACAGCTTTAGACTGCAGCAGCAACCTGCGAGGGAGTGAAGCTCAGTTATTTGGGAAGGGAAACTCCCAGACCAGAAAACTGGCCATTGTGAGTGTAACCGAGAAGCTTTTCTATTCGTTCACTTACACTTTCCGTGGATACTACTTTCCCCTGTCCAGTTCAACTCTCATTGGTGTGGGCACCCAAGCCAATTAGAAATAGACCTGAGTTGGGACTATTTTTTTTGCGGATGAATCTTATGGAGAACGGATCTTTTTACTGTTAATGATTAGAAAAAGTTTGGTTGCTGCTCCTTGAGCTGCTGGTGTTCTTTCTCTTCCATCCTTTCGCAGGGAAGAGTTTCTACATACAACAGAATATGTGAAAATATTATAAATATATTTGGAATTAAGAAAATGAATATATCAATATTTATGAGAAGACTTTATTGGGAGCTATATATGACATTTGGGAGCGGTCAGTAAATATTAGTAATTATTATATGGTTGAATTTTATTGAAATACAGTCATATTTTTTACTTAGCTACAATGAACACCATAATATTTACCTGTTATGTTGAATTAGCCTGAAAGTTTTTCACTTATTATAGTTGTGTTTCAGAGGGACTTAGGACAGAGAATTAGTAGCTGTCAGGCAATTTTCCTTAAAAATAAAACAAACACCTAACTAGAAATATTTATATTGAGTTAATGGCAGTTGTATAGACGTCTCCCAAAAATATCTGGGCATTATTTTTTTAATGTTGGTACATAGATTTTTTTTTTTTTAAGTACCAACAAGTCCAGAAAATACTTGGATGTGGACTTCTTGGAGGGTCTTACGGGATTTAACTGAAGAATTCTTCAGAACATTTCTGTTATCTCAGATCCTAAAATTTATAATTTTAGAGTCTTTCAAGGCTTTAGAGCTATTTCATGAGGGTCCCACTCACCCTTATGTTCTACTCAGTTTAGGGTAGATTTTCAACTCCAGGAACTATCAGCAGGAGCACCACCACCACCCCTATTTCCCAGAAGCTTAGTATAAAATTGGTTGGAATGAGTGTTGTATACATTGGGCAAACCTGAAAGGACATGTTGGGGCTCACTTGTCTACATAAAAGTCCTGTGTCTTAATCTATATGTGTGTTACGTTGTAACAGTTAACAGTGGCTCATGGAAGTGTGTGATGCATAAATGCTTATATCTTATAGTATAGGTCTCTATGAGCTGTTCATGAAGCTGTGGAAATGCGTGGGAATGTTGTGATAGTGGTTCCCCAAAATGAGAAAGACTACAGGCTGCCCAAGGTAAGGTGGATGATTGATAGCAGACAACTCCGCCCCCTTCCCTTCCATTCCTTCCTCTCTTGGTGCTGGGAACTATCTTTTGAGTGCGGCAAGTTGAAGCGGGCACTGCTGAGCATGTTTCCCTTTAGGGCACTTCTTATCTAGGAGCTGAATTTAGTTTCTACCCGAAGTGAGCTACTTCCCTCCCCTCCCATGTCCTTCTGAATAAGGAAGCAGCCTCCAAGCATCAGATGAGCCTGGGCTTCGGAGCCACTTAGCAGTCTCCTGGGACCCTGCTCTGGAGGATCCGAAAGCATGCACCGTGGGTGAGCTGCTGCTGCCCGACCTCCCTTCCTCTTTCCTACTTTGCACTATTTTGCCAAACCGAGACTATACATACTTGTAGTTCTGTCACTACAGAGAAAGTGGGGTCAAGCAGCAAAAAAAAAAGGGGGGGGGGTGTCTGTGGACAGACGCGGGACTCTGGAGCCTTAGAGAGACCATGTTACTCACCCTCCATCCTCTTTCAGGTTGTGGCTACTCCTGATTACTTTATGCCTGAGCGAGAAACTTGCCAGAGAGGTGAGTCTCTTCTCCGGACCTTTCCCTCCTCCTCCTTTGACCCCCACCCCATCCCACCTCTGGTGTTTGTTATAGGGATTATAGAGGGTTGCCCCACAAAACGTAGGGTCACATCGCTCTCATTTCTATTTCTCATTCTTAGAGAGGAGTATCAGAGTGTCAGTCTAATGCCTCTGGGAATCAGACATATTTCTGTCCTAAAACCTTGTAATGGTTTGGGAAAATAAAGAGACACAGGAACCTTTACTGGACGACTTGAGATGACTGACATCTGATGCCTTTCTCTGCATCAGAATCTAAGGCAGAATAAATATAATTTTCCCTGGTCTACAGAACATGAATTTGGCACACAAATTTGAGAGTTGAAGGGAGCACAAGGAGTGGGACTTGAAAGTACCACAAGTGTTATTGAAATTGAGCTTTAAGTATTTGTGAGTCCTTTGGCAGCACACAGTGACAACATCTGGATTCGTCTACCTGAACACTAGTTAATGTTTAATTTCTGCCTGATGTTTTATTTTAGTGGTTTTCTGTGTATTTTATTTTATGCATAAAATTAAAGTGGTTTAGAATAGAAAACAGTTTAAAGTTAACATTTAATAGGCTGTTTAGATATCTTACATAAAATCAACTAGTGATTTCAGGCAAAGGAATTTCTGTAGATATTTAATCTAGAAAAGTTTAATGGACCCCAAAAATTAGAGAGACCTCTAATGGAATTACTAGGATAATTTACCAAAGGTAGAGTGCTCTGAATAATCAGAGATGCTGCAGTTCTCCAGTTTCACTAGCTACTTATGCTGACAGAAATAAAGTGAACTATTTAGTTCAAATATGAAGTTGTTCCACTATTGACTACCATTTTACTGTTCTATTTAAAAAAACACCTCTTAGTAATAGCCAGCCATACACTATATAGATAATAAATGAATAAAATATTTACCTTGTGGGTTTTGATAATTTTAACTGATTGGCTCTAATTTAAATATTTATATATATATATATTTTATTGATTTTGTACAGAGAGGAAGGGAGAGAGATAAGAGTTAGAAACATCAATGAGAGAGTCATCGATCAGCTGCCTCTTGCACACCCCCTATTGGGGATATGCCAGCAACCAAGGTACATGCCCTTGACTGGAATCGAACCTGGGACCCTTCAGTCCCCAAGCCTACGCTCTATCCATTGAGCCAAACCAGTCTCGGCTCTAATTTAAATATTTTAAAATCCTATTTATAAAGTAACACAATTCAAACCATTAAAATTAAATAATGCCTTTATGGGGGGGTGGGGGGATGATTACATTGTCCTGGCATATGTCTTCAAAAAAATATCAAAATGATGTGAAATGGTTTCCCTTATGAAAAGAGGATGATGCCAGGGATCTTGAATTTCAACGTTTTGTGGCCTCTTAACTTAGAATGTCAGCTCTTACGTAAATAAATTCTAGACTCTGTAAGCATATGTATTGATACAAGTATACAAGTTTAGTTATGTGTTGCCTTGAGTCTCAATGCTACATGTATTGAAAATGCCAGGTTTGGATTAGTTAACAATTTGTCCAGTAACCTTGCACTTGTGAAAATATCACACTTGGGCAGAATACCCTCCAGAGAAACCGTTATTTTCAGACTCTGGCTGATCATATTCAGTATACTTTTGAGAAAAGCACTAAGAAATTATTCTAAATAGCTGAAGACTTCTCAAACACTGCACACTGTCACTTGATATCCTTAAAAGTCAGCAGAGGATGATGCCTTCAATTATTAGAACATTGAAGTGTGTCTCCAAAATCAAACACTGCTTTGGTAACCTTTTTATTTGTTGTTCTATAATGTCACCTGCTGTCAGTGTGATCTTCTTTGGTAAGACTAAAATGAACCTTGAGATTCACTGACAGTATTTTCTTGCCTTAAGTCCAGAGCTGCTTCCTTTAATTTTTTGAAAAATTGAAGAGAAGGAGGAAAGACACTGGGTAAGTTCTCAAAAGGTGACTTTTCTGAAGGGAAGTTTTTCTTTTTCATTGCACTCTTTGTATTGGATTCTCATCTATATTGCCTGTTTCTTATTTTTTACTCCCAATTGCAGTTTATCTTCTGGGTTTGTAATTTTTTTCACTTTTCAGATAGTTTTAAAAATTTTATTTCTCTGTTATTAAATAAAATATTAAAAATAACTATTATGAATAGATTGACAGGAATTAAAAATTGTATATTTTCAGAAAACAACTCCAAGGCTATGTGGATTGGTATTGATATTAAAAATAACTATTATGAATAGATTGACAGGAACAGTGTTGTGCTTCACTGAGAAAAAGTGTCTTAACTGTGAGAGTTAAGTTGCCAATAATGGAATATTGGTGAGCATTTAAGATAGATATATTTAGGTGCTTTTCGGTTCCTTCTTTGTCAGAGTTTATAAATCAGTACTCTTTATTAAAGGGATAGAAAGCTAAATGTTAAGTTCCAGGATTAATAAATGAATCCCATTCAATTTATTTTAGAGGAGTGATGATCTTTATTCAGTTGAAATATTACACAGTTTATTTGAATGTGATAGATTTTAGGATTTCAGAATATCCATAAATGTTTTTGGTAATTAACTGCCTAAGGCACAGCACACACAACTTTATCTAAACATAGTCTCACTAACTCCTAGAAGTTTACTTTCTTAGAAAATGGTAGTTATTGAGTTCCATTAAAAATAGGATTTTTAAAAATTTTTTTATTGATTAAGGTATCACATATTTGTCCTCATCTCCCCATTCCCATCCCAAACCCCTCCCCATGAATGCTCCCACCCCCTGTTGTCTGTGACCACTGGTTAGGCTCATATGCATGCATATAAGTCCTTTGGTTGATCTTTCCTCATCCCCACCCTCCCATACCTTCCCTCTGAGGTCTGACAGTCTGATCCATGCTTCCCTGTCCATTCTTATTCATCAGTCTATGTTGTTCATCATTTTCCCTAGATGAGCGAGCTCATGTGATTCTAGAAATACACTTATAAGAACCTAAAATGAGACAAACAATAATGGTTATGCTGAGAGGCAAATTAATCAGTCTGTAGTGAGTTTCTTACTGGGCCAACAGTTCTTTTGAGTCCCAATTTCTATGTCAAACAGTTCCTTACTGTACATGTCAGCAATTATACTTCAGTTCTGGATGGTGAACAAATGGTGGTAATGCAGGTCCAACCCTCTCTGGTTTGGTACTGGGCAACCTGGAGTGACGCACAGCTGCTGACTGCTAATATGGCAAGGCATTATCAGCATCTTCCATCTCTGGACTGTTTCTCTTCTGGCTTCATGGCTGGAGCAGTCCTATCAATTCCTCTCTGTTGCAGGAATCCACATGGCCTTGGAGTTGTTTTCTGAAAATATACAAACATATTCTTGACCAAAAGTTAATAAATGAATCTTTTCTATAAATTTGACTTAGGATCTTTTTTCATTTTTTTGCCCAAATTATTTTTCTTTGGCTTGTTTTGACACCAGGTATGTTTTACATGGGTGTTTTGTTGTTACCATTACAAATGAAAGTTAATTTTCTAAAGTAAAATTTTTCTAGATGTAATTTACTTATGGGATATTTTTCCTTACATGATATTCTTCTACTACCCCCTTTTTTAATTTAAATATTAGGAGGCTTTTGAAAATTTTATAATGTAGTCTTCATAGCTTTTAAATTTAAATTTTTGCCCTAAAATATGACTACTTTAGGTTCATTACATGTTACTCAATTTTACCATGAGATGAAAATTTGAGATAACACTTTAGGAATAGCTTTTTGTCCAGTACAATTTAATTTTTCTAGAATATTCACTTAATTCAATTAGCCAATTTAAATTAGCCTGAAAACTTGACTACTATTTTACTGTCAAACTTAATACTCTAACAACAATCTCATTTTACCCTGTAAATATTAGTGGAAAGGATTATTTGCCTTTTTGAGTAGGCCCTGACCATTCCTGGTACTAGGCTGGATTTAGATATAAAAACCCACTTTCTGGCCGAAACTGGTTTGGCTCAGTGGTGGAGTGTTGGTCTGCGGACTGAAAGGTCCCAGGTTCGATTCTGGTCAAGGGCATGTATATTGGTTGCGGGCACATCCCCTATGGGGGGCGTGCAAGAGGCAGCTGGTCGATGTTTCTCTCTCATCTATGTTTCTAGCTCTCTATCTCTCTCCCTTCCTCTCTGTAAAAAATCAATAAAAAATATTTAAAAAAAAAAAACCTCTTTCCCACACCATGGATACAATGCAAGTCAAACAAGCCTTGTTGCAGTGAGAGGGCAGCTGTTGTAGGCCAAGTCTCTGTCTGTTAACTTGTCCCAATTTGACACAGATGTCTCCAAAATCAAACACTTCTTTGGGCATGGGAATCTAAGCAGCCATGGGGGCAGGAGACCTCCCTCAGAAGGGATGAGTGTTCAGGGACCCTGCAAAGTTGGGGGGCTGAGGGTCTGTGTCCCACCTCTGTTGTCCCCCAAGTTCTCTCCTGTTGGCCCCTCTGCCCCTGTGCCTGTCTTAGGTTGTTCCTTCCCTGAGGAATCTTACCTGTCTCTGGCTAACCACCCATCCTCTGGGGCCAAGCAGGGAGATGTGAAGTTGAGTTCTGTCTCCTTGGTAGCCTATACCCCCTTGGCCTCCATGCCCCATACCTGCCTTGGGATCCCTCGCCTGCTGGCAGGGCCCCAGTACTGATCATATCTTGTGGAACCCAGGTTTCTTCTCCACTGGGCGAGAGACAGATCCATGGTACCAGCCATCATGAAACTTCAACCTCGGCATGAACAGAAAGCTCAGGCAACATGTGTAGGCAATTGGATTGTGAGAAGAGAGTTCCTCTTGGTCAAAAGGGCAAGAGGGGCCAATATAGAATGCTTATGTGCCTTTCCAGGAGGCTCTCTACACGGTGGGAGGGATTAAATCTTTTCATGTCTTTTTTAAATTGCTGCCAGACATTCAAAGAATTAGTTTGTAAGTTTGTTTGGGACAATT